ATTTCAATTCGAGTTTTTGTTTACTTTTACCAAAATTACATACTAAAGCAATATTATCTCAATCATTTTCTTCCAAATTTTCATCTTCATAAACATTAAAATTATACACATTTCAATTCCACATCTTTCCTGCAAATATTTTAATTTGTAATGAAACCTTTTTTATCGTTAATGAAACGTTTTTAACATTAACAGTCGCTAAAAAATCTAGAGCCAAATCAGAGAATCTAGGATCAAATTAATTCTGTGACAAGAACTTAAGTTTGGCAAATTTCCATTAATTCTGTTTCAGACCCGTTATCAGGGCTTCATATTCAGCCACTATTGATGTATAGTTGATAGCCTCAAAGCCTGTTTTGGAATGTGATTTAATAGAAATTGGTCAATGATCGATAACTCGGGGTAACATTTGCCAGACAGTTTCTAGTTGTAGGTTCAAATGTTTTTGTCAAAGAGCATTTTGAAGTGTCTTTGATTAATGATAAGTAATTAATTATGTAATCACCGTCTCGGCTAATGCTAATCCAAATATATATGTAGCTACTAAGAAGTTTTGCGGAAAGAGGTTACTTTAAACACTTACAAATTAATGTTTACAATTTAAACAATTAAATTGTCCGTAAGAGCTATAATTTCAGTTTGGGATAAAATGCAAGATTAAGATATCGGTATTTTAAACTTTGCCTGTAATCACTGTATATAATTATGAGAGTCCTATGTGCTTAATATTTAAAGTTGATATTATAATTTCAACACAATAACCGCAATTAAACCACAATAGTAATGATTTGAAAATTCAAAAGTCAGTAGTGCAAAAATTCATGCATTTTGGTCATAAAGGCCTTGGCTACGAAGCTGAACATTTCTTCGTTTGGTTGATTAAACTCGCTACTCTTAGGAACTAAGGCTACATAACATCATGTTATGACCAATAGGACCTGAGCATCAATGAAAGTTTTGCCGATACTAGGATTTTTTTCCTTCTGAAAGACGCGGACGAAGTCGCATTTGGTAATTATTTTCTTTTTCTTTTCCTGTGTCGCGGGAGACTTTGCAAAAATACATGAAACGGACACAAAGAACACACATACTCAGGTCAACGATTTGTGGATCACACAAAGTGTCGTCCAATGTGGGGATCTGACCCATAACACTCAGCGTAGTAGTGAGCGGCGTGGCGACCGCTTAAACCACTACGCCCTGCAGTAAATTAGTGTCAAATAGGGAAATTGCAAGTCTCGGATGGGGTTACCGGATCAGTCCCTTGGCTTGGCGATTGCTGTTGCTTGAGAAGGCCAACATCGAGTACCAGTGTCTCTGTCTTGAGGATCTGACGAAATAATAGGGAAATTGCAAGTCTCGGATGGGGTTACCGGATCAGTTCCTTGGCTTGCTGATTGCTGTTGCCAACATCGAGTACCAATGCCTCTATCTTGAGGATCTGATAAATGGAATTAAATCTGCTATAGTAACCTCTCTAAGGTTACTATAACAGGGACATCAGATTTATTTTTAGTAATTTATTGCTGAATAGAAATGAATTAAATGCCTTTTCAAAAGCAGTGAATGAACAATTTGTACTTATTTGCCGAGTCTACATAAATATCCTACACAAATTTAAACACAGCACATTCACCGCCTAAATTCACATGGGATTTTAATTCCAATAAAAAAATACGACCAACGATAAACTGAAACATTTTTAACACGCGACATTTTGTAAATTTCCTTCTACGCCGGTCTGACCACGACCGACCCAAAATTACAAAATGTGTTACAGAAAAATTTATATGTCGAGCCTTTTGTACCACCGCAGGCTGGTCACAGCAGCCGGGGCCCAAATACTGTGGTTGACATATTCGTCCTTTGTGGGATTAGTTGAATTTTTGACCCCAGGGCCTGAGATTAAAATGTTATATACTCAATTTTTTTTTGTTGAGGAGCTGTTCTAGTTCATAACTTAAGGAAAAAAAACGAGTGTGCTTTAGACGACACGCCTGAAGTAAAGCTTTTTTAAAGAAATGAGAGAAAGAAAATTTATGCTCGCACCTGTCTCACTTGCCCCTACAGTAATATACGAAACGTAACTCTCTCTCTTTTCTATCCTTACTAACTTATATCTCCCTCTCAACTTTCGTCGATCACACTTTTCGTAACGCTCTTGTCATACATTCCCCATCTTACTCCCCAAGTCAAGCGTGCGGAAAGAAGTTTTACTTCAAAAAGGTTATGTTTTGGCAGCTTGAATGGCTGGGTGATCGGTTTTAATTATCAGTAGTAGACATTTTAGTATCTTATTGATCTAGTTTGTAGCGATCCTGACTGCTAAGCAAGAGCACGTGAGTTCGATTTCCGTCTAGGACATATATGTGGAATCATTGAGAAGCATTCAATCATTGAAATAAGTTACCTATTTAGAAATGTTAGTAATAAGAATATATTTAGAAATCAACATTTATATGTTCATTAAAAAATATACTCGGTTGACGGTAACAGGTTTGCTAGGGATGCAAAAGGTTTTAGTTGAGTTGAGTTTAAGGTTTACGCAGATGGGCTAAAATTATAATCAGCAAAATGTGGGTATTTTAATACGCCTCTGTTTTCGGGGAAGTAAATACGTGAATGTATGTATTGCTATCATTTTTATTCAGACATGTTCTTCCTTCCTCCGACCCTTTTCTCAAACTAGTTTGTGGTTTAAGTCTAGTCTTTAAGTCTACTACAATACGGCTGAACTTCAATTTTACCACTTCAGGCTTCCATCAGACCTCCACAACCCACTAATCGCTAGGCGATATCGAAGTTATGTAGAAAAACTGTTGTCGAACTTTTTAGGGGTCCAACTACTCGTAACGATCACCACTGATGTTCGTATGGTAACTGAGACCAACGGGTTAACGTGCTCTCCGAGCCACGAAGGGGTCTCAATGTGTTAAGAATGGTCACCCATCCATAGACTGACCTGATTACGAGAGCTTAACTTTGCAATGTGTTAACATTTTTTTGTTGTTAGAGGTGGCAGACGAGCAGACGGGTCACCTGATGGAAAGTGACCATCGCCGCCCAGGATCATCTGCAACTCAGGAGTCACAAACGCGTTGCCGGCCTTTTAGGAAGGAATACGCTCTTTTCTTAGCATACTTGGTTACCAGTTAGCCATTAGCCCATCTGATCACACATGTTGATGTAGTTAATCATTGTGTCACAATTGTAACAACGTAACGTAATCGTTAACTTAATAAATAAAAAGAAAAAAATAAACTCAGATCTCACTGATCCCATCAGTCTGATTATTTATGTTAAAAAAATCAAATGATTATACTAACATCAGTTTATAAGCTGACGTCTTTAATAATCATAAAATTTATTGTTCACAATTAAAGTTAACAAACAAAATTTCATGGTTGTTATATTACAGAAATTACAAAGAATGCACTGCTGATAGGTACTTAAAAAGGAACCCTGTGCTATAAGTACCAGCAACTCTTTTATGGCGCAGTTTGGTAATACAATCCTTGCACAGACACACAATTTTACCGCAGAACATTAGAAACAAATTCTGTAGCCATAACCGCTGATCGTAGATTTGACGTCTCGTCTAGATCTTGGCATTTTGAATTAAGCAACTATAATATTGTACGAATGAACGTGTAAATTCATCCCGTGGGTGTCGTAAGAACCGACTAAGGGCGCAAAACAACGCAGGACACCAGCACTGCAAAAAGACGGAAAACTTGACACAAACCCTATACCAACCCGCCTGGCCAGCGTGGTATAGTAGGCCAAAATCTTCTTTCTAAGGAGAGGCCTATGTCCAGCAGTGGACTATTAAAGGATGTGTGTGTGATGTGAACGTTCAGAAATAAATCAAATTGTTAACATTTTGTAAAAAAATCTATTAACAATTTAATCCACCCTTTCTTTTTGGATCTTAACTTCTAAAAAAACTATACTATCTAATGACATTAATATCTTAATGCAAATATCAGACATTTGTAAAAGACATTTTTATTACCTTGAAATGCCAATGCCGACTAAATGATGCTTAGAATTCGTGTGGCCTATTTTCTACCGAAAAGCCGCCCCAGCAGTAAATAAATAGAATTTAAGGACAGAGGGAAATAAGAAAACAACCTTTTGTAATAAGAAAATTCATTTTGCCATAATTGAATATTTACATTTATTAATCTAATTTTCATTATATTAATAAATGTAAAGATTATATTATGTTATATATTTCATTATATTATATAAGAGAAAATAATTATAAATAATTGATGACGTCGTTTTTTTTTTATATTTGTCAATTTTGTTATAATTAGCCTAAGATTTGAGGTATTAAGATGTTTTCTCGCATTTTATTGACAGACAAATTTAATTGACTCATCACTTTAATATACGTTTTAGTAAATTTCAAACGCAAAAAAAGGCGACCGGATGGCGTAGTGGTTTGTGTAATGGACTGCTATTCCAAAGGTCGCGGATTCGATTCTCGCTCAAGTCCAACATTTGAGTGCATGAACATTTAATGTTTGATTTGTTCTGGGTGTTTCTTTGCATAATAAGCATGTATTTACAAATAAACAAAAGTATATATGTGATTATATCAGTTGTCTAGTACCCATAGTACAAGCTCTGCTTAGTTTGGGACTAGATGGCGTTGTGTGAATATGGTAGAATATTATTATTATAACAGATATAAAGCCTTGCTTCATGCCAAACTTCTTCACTCTAGAACAATGAGAATTGACCTAAATATAAGTCTTAAATAATCTTATCATTATGGGTTGACTTTTTAAGAGATTCAAAGGACCGTAGACACAAGTATTTAATGGTAATATTATATTTTCCTGAAAAAAAGAGTGTTGACTAATTAACAGACAGATGTACCTACAAAGAACGAAGAAATCTTATACCGGCCTCTTTTTTTATTTTTGTGGAATGGAAACCTTAAACCTAAATGTGAGATATAAAAACCGAAATAGACCAAGCTTACTTACCTATAGTAATTAAGAACCTGTGCGAAGACCCCAGGATGTCTATCAAAGAAGTACTCGTTGAGCACTGGGTCGTAATTGGCGAGCGCCTCCGTGAGCCGTGACAGTCTGGTCGCTGGGATTTTCTTCAACGTCGCCTTATATGTTTCGTGACGAATCCCCCCCACGTTCAACACCACGCGGTTTTCAGCGTCCATGTTGAGGAGATTCATTTCTGTTGAAAATTAATAGATTATTTTATTGAACCCGCTTAAAAGGTTCTTAAGAAATAGGAGTTCATTTGCATTTAATTCTCTGTTAAAATTTCTTACCATTGCTTTGGTATTAAAATATACTAAAATGATTCAATTTTCAGTAAGCAGTTTTTTCAATCAAGTTATTATTTGTAAAATATTTTTATTATTGTAACATGACATCTTGTCAGACATAACACATCATATGCGACTACTTTAAGACTCGCTCGTTTTTATTTAATCAAATTAGATTTCATTAAATTTGAACATAATAAAATAATATCAATACACAAATAAAATGAAATTGAAAATAAATGAAATGAGATACGCAAATAAATAGATTTTATTCTGCAGGCGATGACATATAAAACTTTTCAGCGATTTGTTATAAGATGCAATACTTAGACACATATTTTAATAAGCAGCCTGTCGCTTACGGACGAAAAAAAATACGGTTAATTTGCCTTATATATTCAAAATCCTTATAATCTGTGTACATGAACAAACTAATAAATTGACTTATTCTCTTACACTACATTTAAGAATTAATTAGTTAAACGCATTTTAAGAACACTGTCAAAAAGTCTGTCTGTCTGGCTGTCCGTGTGGCGGCAGATTCCTATTCATCCCGTGGGTGTCGTAAGAACAACGGCACTGCAGAGAGAAGGAAAACTTGACATAAACCCTATACGAACCCGTCTGGCCAGCGTGGTATAGTAGGCAAAAACTTCCTTTCTAAGGAGAGGCTTATATCCAGCAGTAGACTACTATAGGCTGTTGATGTGATGTGGTGATGTGTTAAAAAGTCATGGCTATCCCCAGGCTATGAAGATAATAGTATCGTAAGCATTAGTTTTATTATTATATCAAAGGCAAAGTTAGTCACGCACAACCATCAATATATAATTATTCTTAAAACATTACTTGGCACCCGTTGAATCCACATTTTGCGAACAATATTTTTTCCTGCAAATAAGGAAAGCGTCTTTCAAATTCATTTGATAGATTATAAACGGGAGCATGAATAATTGTATTATTCTTGGCAGTCTCCCATGATCAATTGGTCAGAAAATCGGTGTTATCTTATAAATAAATGAGGAATCGTTCTGTTTCTGAGGAAATATGGATTTATTCGGCCTGAGGTCGTAGTTAAATACTGTTTTATTGCAATAGGGTAATATAAATAAGTTCTCTATGAATAATTGGTAACAATGTGGAATGAGTTGTGTCAGTGGACATTTGATACCCCTCTCCTCCCCCGAATCCGTGAGAATATGTATATATGAATGATATTTTGTGATTTTAAATTAAAATCTTTTTCTAGAATGTTTTAATTTAATTATTGTTTTTCTTTTGATACAATTGTTTTCTATTTTATAGAAAAATTGTAAGAAAACTGTTTTATTTTCTAAATTACCAATACATTTTTTTTTTAAAGAACACTCCCTCATTAGGAATTCATCCTGTATCGCTGGGAACTTTACAAAGATGCATGAAATGGACACAAAGAACACCTAGACTTAGAACAACAATTTGTGGATCACACAAAGTGTCGTCCTATCTGAGGATCGAACCCACAACACTCAGCGTAGTAGTAAGTGGCGTGGCGACCGCTTGAACCACTACTCCATCCGTGCAGTCAAATATTCGTCTCACCTATTAAAACAATGTTTGCATGTTTGTCCTGTATTCGTTCCAAAACGATTGATCACATTGTGAAGAATCTTTGATTGGGAGTTCCAGCAACGTATGCGAGGATTGTTGTACCAAAAAGTTTATATTTAAATGTGTTTTTTTTTTTATTTATGTTGCATTATGAGTACAACGCATGCCGGGAACAGCTAGTTGTTTATAAGTCATGGCTAATTTTAATTTCTATTACTAATAAGATCTTGAAAATTCCTGTACTTACTGGCGACTTCTCCTCTCTCTTCTCTTTATCTAACTAATAAGTGTGGGCTACGGCGACCGACTTTGACCCCTCCTCGACATCACCGCGATATATTCGTCTTCTAAAGCGCTAAATATCTCGTGTGCTGGCATTGCTGGTTGAGAGAATCCTGTGGACAAAACAATAATTGTACCTTTTACCATATAATAATGCAATACAAGCAATAAGATAAAATTGACGGAATAGCCATTACAGACATATTCTTTTCCATACGGAATGTGAGCACTGTCTATTGGCGCACAACTAAGTTGTTGGGTAGTTGTATGTATACTAATCGGCGCGAGAACTTTAATTGCGCGATGCAGAATTAGTAGTTACAGTAAGTATGTTTCTGTTTCGTTTTATATTGAAATTAAGACAACATCGTTTTACACGAGTTTATTTTTATATTTCAAGCATTGGAATCATTTATCCATTCTTGTATAATTTATTAGATATTTCTCGTGGTTTCGCTCGCTTATTTAGATCTAACTTTTTCTAAAGTTTCGTGTTTCTAACTTTGAAATTCAGAAATTTCCATACAAGCGTTTATTTCTTATTTTACCCTCTTAATAGTAAAATATGTCATAATGGGTGCTTGAAACATAAAAAACATCAGCTGACAAGGGAGAACTGCAGATTTTGTACCACTAGTAATAAATACCACTAGTAATAAAATATTTAGTATAAATTTGTACCGTTTATGAAGTGAGTCATCCTAACTATTTTAAAAGATTTTAAGGTTACCTTTTTGACAGTAATGACAAAATATTTGTGATAGCCAGATGTCATTGGTATCGACTTCAGTGCAGCCTACATGCAAACTACAAACTTAAAAAAACTTTTGAACGTATAGTTCTAAAAATCTGGTAATTAAAACTGTGATTGTTGATTATATTTCCAGCAAAAGAAATACAACAACCCTACCATGAGATACGCAAGGCGGTACAAAAGTCCCAAACACGCCTGCCATTGTACTTTCAAGTTTGTAGCTCCAATGTTTTAGGCTCTGCGTTAATAAATCAGTGAGTCAGAGTAAATAATTTTGTATTTATAGAAAAGTTTACTTCGAATATTGGAGTAAAAAAAATAACCTAACTATAAAGGTAAATTCTGGATAACTCCACGACAAGGCGTTTCTTAAACTCATAAATTATTCACATAAATTGTGACCATAGAATCAAACAACTGTTTCATATACAAATCCCTTAGCAGACGTAATTCATATAAAACTTTTGCACAACTATGTACCCAAGCTGCCTTATGAAGACAATCCACGATAACTATATTACATTGGCGGCTAGAATTGAATATTGTGGCGAACGAAATTTGACCTTGGCATGACCTGGTTATACAGGTCGATTTTATTTTAGTACCACGCGGTATGTATTGATTATACGACTCAGTCCTTTGTTACTATATTTCGGAGTTTGTAGTGAAATTTTGCGTAGTAACACCCTAATATTAATACGTGGGGCATAATGAAAGTCTCCGGATCTAACCACCTACAATAAAATAATGAAAAAACAATTATGTTGTTTTTTGTTACTTTTTAACTTGCGAGGCTGTCATTTGTTTATTCATTGGTCCGTCCTTTTGAAAATTGTGAGTCGCTATCAAAATAAATTTAACTGTTTATTGTGTAACATGTTTAATTGTAGTTTGTCCTATTTACTACTTAGGGCATACTAAAATTTCTGGAAATATATATCCATATATATATATATATATTGCCATCCGTGTGGTGACGTATTAAGAATATAGAGTGTCATCACCCCTATTCATCCTGTGGGTGTCATACGAGTTGACTAAGGGAGCAAACTACGCAAGACTACGGCACTGCAAAGATAGGGGTAACCTGACACAAAACTTACACCAACAAGTCTGACCAGCGTGGTATAGTACGCCAAAACCTCCTTTCTAAAAAGAGGCCTATGTCCAGCAGTGGACTATTAAAGGCTGTTGATGTGAAGTGATGTATATATTGCCCTCGATCGGGATAGTTGGCACTTCTTGGGGGAGGCTTTTGTTCAGCAGTGGATTGCGATAGGCTGATGATGATGATATATATGTGTGTAAGGGAACATATATAATAATTTAATTAATTTTCGATTCAGCGATTCCAATCAAACATAAATTGTGAATTGTACCGGATATCGTATGTATTTATATTCACGTATGAATTTTATGACCGACTGGTTACGGATAGAGTTGAGTCCTTTTATGAACAAGTGGGTGTAAACCACTGCTTTTAATTTTTTTTAAACAGCAAAATGCGTGTTGAATTTTCTAGTATAGGGTTTCATAACGTATACCTATCTACATTTTAAACAAGTATGAGTATTTTTGTAAAATATTTTTGTAAAATATATGACATTTATCAGGTGAATACATTTTAAAAGTTCGATGATTTTGTGATTCTTTAATATGTAAAACTGTAATCCTATTTTTTCAAGTTTTGCAATATATCTAAAAGTTGGCTCGTAAAACCCAAGTCCCCATTAAAATTTACTTTTTATTTGACGTGCTTGTTGGTCTAGAGATCTAGAATTAGGATTTGGATATTTCTAAGGATAAGGGTAACCTTATCCTTAGAAATATTCAAATCCTAATCCTTAGCAATATATATTGTTTATTATTAGCCTGATTACCATAACACAGGCACGACCTAATTTGAAATCAGACGACTGTGTGTTAGATGTCTCGAGTGCTTATATAAAATATTATAATTTTATTCATTCTAGAAAAATCTAATTTAAACCAAAACTTTCCATTTATACCGTCCGACATCAAGTGTTAACCCCTTCGTGTTTGAGCAAAAAGAAGAAGGTCCCCAATTGTTGGCGAGACAGTTTGATTAAGGAAGTTTTATAAATGGTCGGGTCACTGCGACCTGAAGATTGAGGGTTGATGGGATTAACGTTTTCAATTATAACTTCTACAATTGTTGTGTTAATAAGTTTTGCTTGTATTTTGTGTGTAGTGGAGTTATAATTATATTATAGTTAAATGATTTACATTTAACTATAATATTTGTAATGATTTTGTG